GGTGACAAGCGATAATTAGTAGCCGCGACCCTCTTTTGTTCAAAACTATATCCACAAGCAGCATTTACAGGCTAGCGGAAATCGACCAATCGGCGTTCGGCAATACTCAACGCTGATTGGCCCGATGCTCGTGACGAAATTGCGGGGGACTGCAGCTATTCCCCTATGGCGTTTAATAGACTTACGGCTTTTGAAGGGGATTTATACCAGTTTTTGTTGGGTTTGAGGCCATTTTTGAGCTTGGATATTCTTTCTGTGACTTTTGACTGTGTAATAACGACATTTAATCATAACATTTCTATATACTACCGGTGTCACATCGACCAAAAAGACCGTAAGTACATGGGATAGACGGACCACTGCTGATGGGGCCACACATGCCGGCGTGTGGTCATCGGAGGCCCATGAGGGCTCGACATAGGCCCTTCATGGGTCGGTATAGGCCCGGTGGGTCCAGTGCAAGCCTATCAGGGGCCGGTGCTAACCCAACAGGGCCCAGTGACATATAATGTAAGGCCGTCTAGGGACGTTGAGGGCTCATGGGGGGCCATATAGGACCAATAGGGACCACATAAGCCAATCAGGGGCCATTTAGGCCAATAAAGGCACTTCAAGGGACTTGAAAAGGTCATTCAAGAGCTGTGGTGGGCCCATGAGAGGACGGCACTGGTCCAGCAGGTGCAGTCAGGGGATGTTGTACGGGTTTCTCAGTGGCCCATTTGGGCATATCAGTGACCAATTTAGACCCAGCAGTGGGCTTTGTAGACCTATCAGGGGCTGGTGATGGTTCATCAGGGGCCAGCGTTAGTCCATCGGGGCACGGCATATGCCCATCAGAGGTAATTGCGAGCCCACGCTGAACAATGATGGCCCTTCAACGGCCCCATGGATCTACATTGACCCATGGGCCATGATGTGTCATGTATGCCCCTATGACAGGCCTACTCAGACCCCTGATGGACGTTCCCGGCCTCTGATGACCCTATGCTGAATGCTGATGGGGCTCTAAGAGTCTCCAATAACCCTTCGTCACCCCATTATTACCATACGCTGGCATTAGGGACCCTACATCCAAGCCCACATCAGCCGCAGGGCAGTCCGTACCATGACAGCACGTCTTTTCGGCCGATATTTCATTGGTAATATTTATCAAAATCATGATTTTATGGTGCCATTATATAGGTAACAGTCATAAGAAATATATTTCAACTCGAAAACAGCTCGAAACAGCATATAATTTTAAAGAAACCCCTCCGAAATCCAAAAGCCTATTCGGGTCCATAGAGAATAACTGCGGTCCCCCGCAATTTCGTCACGAGCGTCGGACCAATCAGCGTCGAGTACCGCCGAGCGCTGATTGGTGAATTTTCCGCTAGCGTGTAAGTACTGCTCACGGAACAAGAGTTCGTCGACAATCCTCCACAAACGTCTGTCACCATTTTTCATAATGCTAAACAGCCGGAGCGTACCCCCCTGGGTCAGTCTTCGCTAGCCCCCGGCGCCACGTCAACCAAAATGGCCGCGCAACATGGCTGCGACGGCTATCGGGGAGAGGAAACTCAAAGTGATTGATGACGGGCCCAGACTTTTGCTGAGTTTTCAACGGAATGCCTTTGACCCAACGGTAGTCCATTACCTTTGAGCCATGAGTTTTCAACGGTACCTTTACCCCAAAGTATTTCATTGGTTGGTTTACGGTTGCCGTACCTAGGTACTGGGACCATTACATTAGTGACTCATATAGAATCAGCCCTGTGTCCAGCAGTTTTCTCCGGCCGATGGCATGACATTCCAGCCAAGGTGACGTGGACAGGGTCAGAGAGGGGAATCCCCGCTGCTCCGTACCAGCGGGGGCCGATCCACCCCGGGAGGGAAAGGGGAGGTGACACCGGGCCTCGAGGGAGCGGCGCCTGAGCTTGGGACCTTAGTGAGCAGACCAAGACAGCTTATAAAAGGGCTGGGCCGTGCCACTGATCTAGAGGGTGCTTGCTATGGTTGTGTTGCGATACGTAGCTTTTTGTTACCAAGTTGAAACACGACACACCACCCCAAGAGCTGAACCTGAAACTATGCCATTCGGCATTCTTTTACCGTAAAATTCATGTGAAATTCTCCATAAACCGTCTATTCAAAGAGAAACATTTCCCAATCAGGTCAGTCATATTCACCGTGTCTTGAAAACAGCATCACAAAGTATCTACAAACACAAGTAGAGTTCCAACTGCTGCCTTATCCCAGCCGCTAAGCCCACAAACCTATACCTGTGTGCTTTCGCCACCGGCCTCCTATCACCCCTCCCCGTTCCTCGACCTTCCCCACGGTCACGGGCACCCCACACATCGCGGTCACATGACCTGAGTGACGTCACACACCCCTGACACGTCACCGGTGCCAGCACGGCACCCCGATAAATCAATGACGGCGCCGCGTCCACCGGCCGGCCTCCGGTGACTCAAACAGTGGTGGGCACAGAATGCTTCCTTGGCAACACCCATCCCACAGTACACACTTGACACTACACACTCATCCTATCGATAAAGTCACACACTTTGATCAGTCACGTGAACTTGAACAGAAAAGGTATCTTGAATCCTGCTTGCAAGGAGGAATATGCAAGGACAGTAGATCGGTGTCACTTGATGCCTTTCAGAGGGTGATAAAAATAATGGGTCAACTACTTCGAAACAAACTTAAATACCCAAGGCTGCATCGTCCGAGACACCCAAACAGGTGGGACCAGTATAGAAATCGGCAAGGCCGGTGAAGAGGCTGACGATATGTGAAATCTACCTACAAGGGAGCCAGCCCACTGGCGTCCAAGCATAGTGTCTGGCTGTGGCATCGATTGCTTTGCCATCGAGTCTGGCCTACAGAGTAGCTTTTCGAGAAAAAAGTGATATTGATGACATTGATAACATCAGTAGCAGACGAACTCCTACTTCAGAAGCAGTCATACAAACTTCTGTACCGATTTTACAAACAACCAATACCTACCATAATAAATCTGCCAGACATCAAGATATCATGCATTTCTAGAAGCTCGGACTAATGCACCAATCTAAATTCCAGTGCCTACTGCCTACGATAGCAAACTGATACCGTGATCGATACCAACATAGAACGTAAGCCCCTGTTGCACACGAGACCATGCCGCCATTGCGAAAGCCCACCTGTTTCAACACGCGGCGGTGTAACCGCTTATCTATGACGAGGTCACCGTATTGTAGTTTAGGTGACGTCACTGGGTAGCAGCTCCAATCACAGCAGAATAATATAACTCCAATGACGTCAGACTAGTACCTGGCGCCAGGCCCAAGGGAGGGAGAGGTGGGAGAGAGCCAAGGACACGTTCACAACTCCCCCAGGCAGAGGGGGAGGGCGGCGAGGCATTGCAGCACGAGATAGCAGGCCGGTCGATTTGGGACGCCGGCAGACCGCGCGAGCCGGAACGAAACGGTGAAGGCATTGGCGGAAAACATGCCAAGATTTTGTATAGGTAAAAAAAAAACACGCCGCACACCAGTTATGCATGCTTAGGTATGTGTCTTATCATAAGTTGTAACAAAATCTATTCTATCACCTACCACAGACTGACCATTGGGCACTGAAGCTTATTGAAAAACATAGCACATTGATTTGACGTAGTTTGAGATCCGTTTTATTTCATCCGTGTCGATTATCAAGCTCCCAACTCTACTACAAGGCCAAAGCCGAACCGCACAAGTCTGGCATTGTTGTGCAACGGTCCCGTCAGTCACTGGCAGCTCTAACGGGACCACTCAGCCCCGTACTAAGCTCATTCGCTGTCAACTGCACGCCCACGGCAGACAGAACAGCGATCCGCCAATCAGAGGCGAGAGAAGTCACGTGAACGGTGCGTGAACGAGGGAGCACAAAAATTAGAACATAACTGTTGCAAGCATGAGATAGTAAGATTGGCGAGTAAATAATAATGCAGTTGTTGTAAATGATAAATGCGGGACAAAACAGCGCTAATGAAGTCCGAAAACTCGAAAAGACTGCGCTCATCAAAGCTAAGATCACAGCCCTCGGTGCAGAACATTTCGTAACTTTGTTGCATTTCATTGTGAACGCGTCCGGTCCGTTGCTCGCCACATGTTTCCCTTCGAATGACATCACTGCTAGTTACGCCCCTCCCGCACGGGCAAACAGTCGGGCTACTTCAGTGACAGGCGCCTGTGTCATCCTCTTCTGAGAAGACGATAACCGTAGCCAGTACGGCAGATCGCTAGAAGCTATCATGATTATCATTTACCACGGCCAAGGGCAGGTATCTGAACTCAACTATGATCTTTGACCATGTACATACATAGTACCCACTATCGGTAGATTTAGCTACGGGAATCTGTCTAAGGTATGGAATGCCATGCAGGAGTTCGTACTAGTACTTCGGAAAGCAGGGATGAATATTATCCAACGGCCCATAGGATCGAGTTAGCATCAAATATCACTGGGTCTGGGATAACGACGAAGACGCCATTACATATAATCTACAGAGCACATAACGTGAACATCCCGTCCAAGAAAGGCCCCAAGCAACCCATCCTGCTCAGAATGACTCAGCAAATTTCACAACTACGACATATACATACGGCCCACGTGATGCGGTAGCGTAAATATAGACTCTGGGCTGGGCGTGGGCGACTGGGTGTTTGAAAAGGACAACCCTCCTCAGAAAGCCTTGGTATTCCACTATGGAATCGGCTTCCCGGTAATGACAACTCATACTGACAGCATAAAGTAGAGCTAGAGATTCGCAATCAACGCTGAACAAAATAACTTCCATCATGCCACTACTCATTGACCACTACATGTATCAGGACACATATTTCTATAGCACTATAGCTAATGAAGCAAGAAAGTAAGAAAGAAAGAAAGAAAGAAAGAAAGAAAGAAAGAAAGAAAGAAAGAATGAATGAATGAAAGATACAGCAAGAAAGAAAGGAGAAAAGCAAATAGCCCATCTCAATGGGACCCACCTTTCGAGCTGACTGATGACTTCCCCTCGATCCTGGCTCGTTTGGCCGACTCCTGTTTGACGATGACCTGGGGTCGCTTCACCGCCTTGGTGCCGCTGGTGCTCGCAGCGCTGGTGTTGGTGCTGGCTGCGCTGGTGCTGGCAGCGCTGGTAATGGTGCTCGAAGCGCTGGTGATGGTGCTCGAAGCGCTGCTGACTTTCCTCACCACAGACGCCGATCTGGCGCCGCTCTGTCCCTTTGTCACAGTCTGAGACGCCTTTCCGCGAGTCTTCCCGCTCGCCTGCGCCTTTTGTGGCGCCTTCCCGCTCGCCTGCGCCTTCTGTGGCGCCTTTCCGCCCGAGGTCAGCGCCTCGACGGCCGCCAGACTCGGCTGGAGCGCGGCGGCGTTCAGCACAATCTGTCCAGAGCGCTGAATCCCCGCCAACTGCTCGCTGGTGAGCATGATGACGATCTGGGTGGCCGGGCTGGCGGCGGGGGTGACCGCCACGCGCGGAGGACGGCGACGACGGCGGCGGGGCGCAGGGCGCTCCTCCACAATCGAAATGTCCTCGTCTTGGTCGATGGGCTCCTCTTTGATCGGGGTCACCGTGGCGGCTGGTTTAGGAGTTGTGGGTGCAGCAGAGGAAGGCGCCAGGCGTGGGGTGGTGGCCGTGTTGGTAACGCTCGCTGGAGACCCTGCTGATAATGATGCGGAAGGTGTGGGGTCGGATGTGATGCCACACATACTCTCCAGGGTTTTAAGATCCTCCAACGCCTGATCGATCATACGCGTGTGCTCGTCTTCCTCCACTGAGGACGCCAGGAACTCGATCTCGGGTGAGAGCGCCTCCTCGGGCGACCCGGAGGCGGTCTCATGAGCGGCCGGAGAGGTCACCTCCACCGGAGAGCTCGTAGGGTACTCAGCAGATGAAGTGTCTGTGATTTTGCTCGTGCTCATCTCCAGGTCAGACGGGGAGACGAAGATCTCCTCGGCCGGCGGCGGCTTGGTGGACACAGCACGCGCCGGCTGCACAAAGTCAATCAAAGTCGTGATTTTGTCCGTGATGGCGTTATCGCTCTGAATATGGACGATCTCCGAGCGCGGTGCCGAGCTCGTGGCAACCTTCCAGTCGCCTACCGAGCGCAGTTCCGCGTGCGACGGGGACGTCTCCAGCGGCGAGGAGCCCAGGCTGGGGTCGGGCGAGGCGAGCAGCGCGTCCGATGGGGACATCAGACACTGGTCGCCGGGCGACGGCTGCGGGTCGGCGGGCGAGCCGAGGGACGAGGTGGTCCCCGCGGCGCCCAGCGCGACGCTCGTGCCGCCGCACACGGCCGACTGCTCAGCCACGCCCAGCAGGCCGTCCCCAGTCAGCTCAGAGGGCAGGCCGTCCAGGTGGGGGAACAGCCGCGACACAGACTCCACCTCGGCGGCGAAGTCAACGCCAGCAGCGTCCTCCCAGCCGAATGGACCCGCCGCTCCATATCCTGAGCTGTTGGCCTGAGGGGAGAGAAGGGAAGTTGTCAGTGGCTGTAGGTATGTGTGGAGTGGATGTCAATGGCATGGTACACAAACAATTTGTAAAAAAAATACCCACATAAAACTGACATAATTAAAACCTTTAAGCATTTGATTGGCAATAAGCAATATACAAGACTTATCTGACAATGGAATGAGAAAAGGAAGGACAAAACATACTTGTGAGGTGGCCTCATCAAGCCACAATGAATCGAGGGCCAGCGGCCCTGCAGCCATCTCTGTGATCTTGGCCATATTGGTCTTCTTGTTGTGTCAGTTGGATGTAAGCCAAAAGGCTGGTTTGGTAGACTTGGGAAGTCCTGTAAAATATTATTATTGTTAGTACCATTGGTAAAGGAGCACATTGTACACCAAGTAGGCATGCGGTAACTGACATTGACATGCATATTTTGATTTGAATCAAATAGCAATTACAAATAACAATGCAAAAATATCTGAGCGGATTTGATCTGCTCATAAATTGACAAGCTTATCGGAAAAAATGGCTTACATATTTAAGCAAATGAACCACATGGCATGGCAGGTCATGGGAATCGCTGATTGACACAACAAAGCACCAAAAATTGCAGCATTTTCGTAAAAATAAGAATCATACTTACATCATCGCTGGTGTACTGGGCGCACGAGGCGCGGCTGGTTTCTTGAAACCACTATTGACCCATGGCTATGCAGGAAAATCACCGAAATAACTTGTACGTGTTTCCTTGGCTGTCATCGGGTCAACAATACGGAAATCGGCGGGAGCAGAACCCGGGAGCTGCGGGAACGTTGTTTGATGTTCATGCGCAACCGACGACTTAAAAATAAGTCGAGAGAATTTTGTTTTCCATTTGCATTTTTAATGTGACACACTCTAACTCCTTTACTTCATTTATGCTGGAATCAATATAAACACGAGCAATCTCCCCAAATATTCGCAAGTTTTTAGGACTATGTTTTGATGTAGAGGCTCTCCATGTCAATCTCGATTGCGTCATCTCGATGCATTCAGCGGCAGTTATATTTTGAGAAATTACATCACATGTCTTTCAGACGGAAATATTCGCATGCATACTTCATCGAAATACTATTTTTTGTTTCGTGGCTATTTTGTCTTAAAACAAATTGCAAGTTTAAGGTATCATCGTCGTAAAACGATTATTTATAAGTAACATTTTTATATGACGTCATTTTACCAATTTTACCAATAAAGCTCTTTTGCTACAAAAATGGCTTAGTAAAGACTTTTATGCTTTCAGTTCCGGCTACTAAATTAATATTTCAGGATGGTATAGATATTGTTATTTATCAACGATTCGAGCTCCGTGTGCCAACAGGTGTATTTGTTTGATTGAATCGCGTAATGATGATTATATCCTGAAAACGTGGTATCGTAGGTGTGAATGTTTTTCCATTATTTTAAATGCTTCTGTGGAGTGTGAAATGCTTCAGGTCAAGGTTTTTTATTTTGCACTATTTTATTTGATTTCCAAAAGTCAACTCAATTTTCTTCTTAAATCTTGCTTGGTTAATTTCATTTATTTTCAAGATATTTAATGAAACAGACATGTACACAACTTTTGTGCCTACAAGGCCTTGAATTCGAGCAGGCACAATACTGTCAAGCCCAGGCGTTGAATGAAAACTAGTGCATCTCACTCTAGATTGAGATGGCTGTGATCTCCCTATCTCAGTGTTTCACACATTTTTACCAAGGTGTGCTCATCAGTTGTCATGTCACTGTTGTCTTCCTTTATTAGATACCAATTTCAATCCTTTTCCAGATTATATGCATGATTGCTCATGTAGTTTTAACTTATTCATTTTTGCAGACAGTTTCATCAGCAATGAAGAAAAGCCAACTTAGCAGTTTATTTGACGAGGATGCCAGCTCTTCTGACAAGTCGCTGTTGACATACCAGCGACCACACCCCCCTGAAACAGGCCAAACTGACAATTCTCTCCCCTCTGCAAATGTCTCACCAGTACTGCCATCCACAAAACACCCCAATGGCGCTGAGATTTCCAATATCCCTGAAAAATCTCAAGATGATAGTCATTTGACATCTGAGACAGATGGAAGAAAGTCTTCATCTTCAGACCATTCTCCAACTGCTGGAGAAAGCAGCACTCCTGAGCTGCTGCACTCATCTGTTGTCGCCGCGTTCACCTTCTCCGGCTCACAGAGTGTGTCACTCGGCTCCTTGGGGTGTGCTGTGTACTGGGAGCGGTCCCGCCGCAGGTCTGTTCTGGTGCTGTACCGCAGCCAGCAGCAGCAGATCTGTCTGCTGACGCTCACAGCTTCCTCCCTGCCGGCCATCCAACCACACAACTACGTCAGCTTCTGCTGTGATGCTGGCCGCCAGTACAGCATCCATGTGGCGTCACAGGAAGCTCTGAAGGAGTTTGTGATGAAAGCTGTGCTGGCTGCAGCACAGGCCGTGGATGGGAGCAGCCCAGTGGCACTTCTGCTTGCCTCCGAGGACCACACGAAAACCGCCGGCGGACGCTGCGCGCGGGAGGGCGACCAGCTGACCCTCAACGTGTCGGAATGGGGCGTGCAAGACCCGCGCTCACGGCCTCTGCGGCAGCTTCACAGCCCGGTGGACGACTCCGGGCCGCTGCTCGGCTCGTGGAGGTCCTCCCTGCGCGGCGCCCGGCCCGGCCAGCGCTGGGTGGTGGCTGATCCCACCTCACTGGGGGTCGTGAGAGAGGTGTCTGTGACGGGGGTCCGTCCGGCGCCGCGTCGCCCTCCTCTGCGGCTGCCGACCGACGACGGAGGCGACTGGAGACCGGGGGAAGAACCGGAGGAGGAGCTGGAGGAGGCGGAGGGGTGCTTGACGCCCGAGTCTCCGCCGTCACCGCCGTCCTCACCTTTACTACCAGTCGCTGAGCGTGATCGGACTGCGTCAGATGTCAGAGAAACCAACAATGAAGCCTCATCACAGCATCATGGTGGTCGAGATGAGGGTCAGGTTGCTTCAAAGGCGAAGGGACGCCCGGACGTTCTGGCGCGGATGGCTCGGCTGGGTCAGCAGATGTTCCCAGTGATGGGGAAGGGGACGTCTCCCTCTCCACCACCCTCGCCACCGCCGTCTCCTGCTCGTCGTTCGCCGACTCCAGCCGTCCGCAGTTCATCCCCGCGACCCCAGTCGCCTTCGGAAACCCAGAAGACCTCCTCATCCGGAAAGGAAGTATCGGGAACGACGGCGGCTTTAGCGTCGGAGGTAGAGGGAGGTCCAGCGTCCAGGAGAAAAGGAAGAGCGCCCGGCGGTCCGAAGCCGACCGTGACCGGCCGCCGTCCTCCGGTCCGCCTTCCTCCCTGCGCCCGTCCACCTGTGGCCGCTCGAGCGGACGGCACTGAGCTCGGCCTGCTGCTGGGACGGCTGGAGGCCAAGCTGGAGACGGTGCTGACCCGTCTAGAACCTCCCGTCGGTGTGGAAACCGACGCGGAAGCACTGGCGGCAGGCGTGCGCAGGCTGGCGACTGAGAACGCCGCGCTACGTGAGGCGTCTCGGGGAGCTGATAGAGCGACTGAGCTGCGTCTGGAGGCGGAGAGAGCGCGTGCGGCGATGACGTCCGAGCTGGCAGACTCGCTGGCGGCGCTGACCGACACCAAGAGGAAACTGGCTGAGACGGAGCGACGACTGGCGGCAGCAGAAGAGAAGGCTGTAGCGGCAGAAAAACGCGAAGAAGAGCTTAGGATGAAGCTGACAGCTGCACAGTCAGCTTGCACTGCTGCGGGGAAGGAGACCCCAGATGCAACACGGGACACCCGACGTATGCTCAAGGGAGTGTACAAGACACTTGTGGCGCGTCTGCCGCCGGATGAGACGTTCACTGGCGCAGCGGTGGCAGAAGTCGCCGCAGAGGTAGTCAGAGAGGCGCTGCAGAGAACGGAAACGGGACGGGTAGAGGGGCGGAGGACTCCAGTGACGGAAAAGAAAGAGGAGAGGAGCAGTGCGCCGCCATTTGTGGCAGAGGACGAGTGTGTGGAAGCGGTAGATTAGGTAGTAGACTGAGATTAGAATTGGGAGAAAGTGACTCGCTCAAAACGTGGCCTTTTGCCTCCGATGTACTGTGTATGCATATTGCTTGGTTTTATCGTCCTTTCCATTTATACAAGCCAGTCATTTATTCTTCAAGTGCAGTCATAAAGTAACTGGGTTTGTTGAAATCAAAGGTAGGTACTCACTCGGGGCATAGAATGAGCTAACTTTGCGGGCGTCGCAGTAGATCATTGTGTGTCCGGTCGGCCCATAACATAATTTACATAAGCATTGCTCGGAATGGTAGCACGGCTTCTTTTATCAAGTGCCAAAAGTTGTTCTGTGTTCAACTAAGAAGTCGCGGATTGAAATGTAGCGAGTGTTTGCTCGTGGTCGTGCGTGTTTGTCGCTTGTCATACAGGCGTGCAGTCACAGGGTTTCTAAAGCCATGTTCACTTTGTGATCGGAAATCTGTGATAAATTACTCCATAAAATTCCACTGCGCGGGCCATGGCAGAGTCGGGTAGCTTGCTTTGTTGTGTGCTATATCACGATAATTGCAGTTTTTATCAGTGTTTTGAAAACTTCGTTTTATGGAAGATCCATGAAATCAATCAGAATATTCCAGTATTTTACCCATGTGTTATGTTTATTCCATTTTACGAATGTTGCATCGTTAATCAAATATACAAACATACTGCTTTATAGGATTGTTCGAAAGCATTGAATTCATTTTCCATTCTTCGGTACGTTCGGCGGGCATAATATTGATCCAGCAGCATGAAACAATACTAAAATCTTTTGATTTCCACACATGTATTGTACACAGACTAACATTTTCGAAACCATTACAAAACCGGTAATACTGGGAGAGATTTTAAGAGTGTGTTCCCTAAAAAAGGTTGGTTTGAACAGGTTCACAGCGACGTGTTGTTATGATATTGTCTAGTGATCCAGAGCAGAACAAGCACAGATCGCTAAGTTTGTGGAGCAGACTCTCAGACCTCCGCATAACGCTGAAGGTTTGCGAAATAAAAATGAAATGAGATGTTTACGACATGCATACAACATCAGCAAAGCTTGAACGAACAACATTACATATTAGAACAACTGTAGCGACTTAAAAAAAAAAGAGGCAAACAGCTAAAGTATGAAAAAATGCTTCAAAACGGCACTTGGGTGTATCAGGAGCAAAACAGCGGCCAAGTACATGTGAAGACGGCTAGACGCTAGACGCAATATTGTCCCTAAAGTTTTGGTGAAAACCTACCCAGTGAAACCTCTCACTGCTGTTCATCTCTCATCGAGCATACATCACCGCTCATTCTTGCATCTGTTCACATCCCATTTCCACTTTCACTGTCCGTCGCTACCTCAGTATCCGTCGTTATCCGACAATCGAAACACAACACACTCCTCAGCCCTCTCATAGCCGATTCCACTGTACGGCTTGACATTCCATCAACCACATCCTCACTGTTTTCATCACTTCCCTTTCCCTTCTCCCCCTCCCTCCCTCATCACTTATCCGGCTGCGCCTCCTCCCCATTCTGCGTCAGCGCGGAGCCGAGGGTGATGCGCCTCACACCCAGAGTACGCAGGTTCACCAGGGCGCAGGTGGCCGTTCGATGGAACTCGGGCAGGCAGAGCAGACGCACGCGCTGACCCTGTGATCCTGGCGGTGACAATAAAGGTGGTTTAGATGGACTCGGGTAGGACGACGGGTATATTACGACGCTGATTGGTTTAATGGCTACTAGCGAGGACATATTAGGCACGCAGTTGAACGCATTTGCCGGAGGTTTCTTTTGTTTTGTTTTTCTCCGGAGCTGAATGCATGGGCAGAAACGTAAAGCATACGGGGCATTCCACGTCAAATCAAACACCGAAATCCGTCATCCCCTTCGATTTTTCTGAAAAATTTTTAGGCAGACTGGGCATGGTTCAAAACTGAGTTATGTATAATATTTTCGAAATTTGATAACGTATCGCTGAGATATAGGTCATCGAATATAGCTAAAAATGCCACACATCAATTTTTTAAATGGCTATAACTCTGGTTTCTTTTCTGGTATCAAAATGATATTAACAGGGTCTTATAGGCAATTGATAAGGCTTTGCTTTTTAATTATAAAATTAAATTGAAGTGACCTTGAAATGCATTTGACCTTGAATTAAAACAGAAAAATTTAAATAGCAAAAAACACGTCACCTTCGATTTGGGTAATTTTTACATATTATGTCCGTCACAATGTTCCTAACCATCTGTGAAAAAATTGGAGTGGGCCATTCATAACTTCCGCGGCAAACGCCGTTTTCATGCATCAACATCACGCAACCGCGCGTGACCTTGAAAGATAGAGTCAAGACATGCTTGCTTGTGCACACTTTCTGAAATGAATGATTGCTGATTACGAGCGAGCGAGCGCAGCGGGCGAAGTGAGTCTTTTCAATATAACGGAAAAATCTCAGTATGAGCGGCCCGGCCCGGCCCGGCCAGTAACGCTTTTGAGAGGCTTATATCTCAGCAACCGCTGGACCGATTGGCCTGCGGTCTTTTTTGTTGGGTAGCCCCATCCCTTCTACCCCGTAATTGACTATTTTTGATACATGTCAGTGACCGTCGTGGCACGTGCCACGTGAAAAGTCAAGGGTGTTCAAGCTGTTTTGCAAAAGTAGTGATTTTGAGAGGCTCATATCTCAGCAGCCGCTTGGGCGATTGGCTTGCGGTAATTTTTGTAGGGTAGCAGCATCCCTTCTACCAAAGGTCGGATACTTTTGATGCATGTGGGTCACCCCCAGTGCACGTGCAAAATACAACAATAAGAGGTGTCAAATTTGTTCCCATTTCAGTAACTCGGTAATTACTGGGGCGATTTCGCTGAAACTTGGCATACAGGTAGGCACCCACCAGGCAATGCATTCCCATGTGTTGCGGTTAGGGTGCTACTGCACGTGCGCACGTGCAGGGGGCGTTTCCAGATCTCGAGAACGGCTGGGCCGATTGCGCTCAAATTTGGTACACGGTTGGGGACCGGTTAGTAGGGTGCCGTGCAAAAGTCATTTTGGACCCCGTTTGCACGTGCGCACGTGCAGAATGCCGCTTCCAGATCTCAGGAACGGCTGGGCCGATTGCGTTCAAATTTGGTACACCGCTAGCGACCGGTTAGAACGGTGCTTTGCGCAAGCCCATTGGAAGTAGGTACCCTCTCGCCCTTCTGCACGTGCAGGGCTCACTATCTCGCTCGCTCGTTCTTCGCCCAAAAGGCGTTTTACTGGTTAGTGATATCCCAAACTCTGCGAGAATGGAAATGCATAGTCATCGTAGTCAAGCATTCACGTTCCATAGTAAAAGTGTCTCAGGCAAACGGTATTTTGCGGTGAATTTTGAGCCGTGTGGAAATGCATCATGAAGTAAATTCAACGAAAACATTATGACGCAACGATATCTTCACGCCTTTTGATCTTCACTATACGAAAGAACATACATTTTTTAGTATGTATGGGGAATTTCTAGTTAATCCAATAATAAATATGGCAGTTAGAGGCCTGCTAAGAGTAACATGTCGCCGGCTGAGGCGGGCTCGGCCGATGCGGGAAACGCAGCAATCACAATTTTGTGTTTACACGTTCATATTTCAATTGTTCACCAACCGATTTTCAAAACTCTTTCACCATAAGATTGCCTGTACATTTCTTAGTCTTCTCACAAAATTTGACGCGAATCAAACGTAATCAGCGGTAGGGAGCGCGATGTAAAGACGGAACCGTTTCGTTCCGTCCCGGCACAGTCTACAATTCAGGCGGCGCGTAGCGGTCGGCGCCGGCTGCCGAGTCGCCGCGTAGCTGCGGCGACAGGATGTTCACTTTACACCGCTATTACTAGAACAGTTGTGAACCGATTTCTTATTGCTTGCACGATGAGATGTCCAATTCAATTCTTGACAGGTAGCCATAATTAATTTCGCATTAATCTTATGAGATATTGGTGAAAAACAGGAGGGGTGGGCGAAATTCGCCCTTCCCTCCACTGCGCGTGCTAACATACGTTTGCATATGTGCAATTTTCTTCAAAACTTATGAATGGCCCACTCTAATTTTTTCACAGGTTGTTAAGAATATGGTAGGGAATAAAATATATGAAAATTAGCCAAATCGAAGGTGACGTGTTTTTTGCTATTTCAATATTTGTGCTTAAGAAAAGAGTTAAGCAAATTTCAAGGTCATATATTTAAGTAGGTGCAATTCTAAACAAATGCTTAAGAAATTACCTAAACAGTAAGGTTTATTTCATTCAAATCAAACAAGTACAACCAAAGTTATGGTCGTTCAAAAATATAAAGATGCAACATTTTGTAAAAATTTGATGCCCTATATTTAGAAGACCTGTGGTCAGAATGTGCAAAAAACATCAATGTAATGTCCGGGGCCACACAGGAACTCGCTCACAAATTTATAATGAAATCGCTGATGGTAAGGTGCAAAACAGCCGATTTTTGTTCGATTTGACGTGGAATGCCCCATACATAATATGATGTGTGAGTTTTAATCAAGGCAATTTAAGTAGTTTTGTGAAATTTTGTTTACGCCCATCGTTCCATAGATTTTTGCCGAAATTGATGTCCTTTCCACCAGTCCTGATATATTTAGGTACTCCTATTTCTCGCAGCTTTTGGCATGTTTCGGTCACTCACCTCGACACATTTTGGTGGCGAACTTGGTCTGATTACCGGCGAACAGCAGGTCGGGACACTGGTCGATGGTGAAGGGGTCCTTGTCGTAGTAGGGGTAGCAGGTTAGTGTGTCAGGGGCCGTGGGACACAGGTGGCCCCAGGTCAGCAGACGCTCCAGAGAGGTCAGCGGGTCGTCGCACGCGCTGTACCTGGAGTAGGAGGGGGACAGGTGACCTCGGGTGAACAAACGGTCCAGTGTCATGGCAGGGAGTCGTACGTTCTACGGAAATTAAGAGACACTCACGGAATGTTTGGTTCTAATTTGATAAGTGGCGGACCCACGCGACACATATCTTTTTCAGACTACTCCCAAACAGTATTTTTATAAACGTAAAAAAGAAACGATAGCAGCGATAAAATATAAAAGCATGAAAAGTCAAATAATTGTTTTAAAAAATCACTGGCCACGTCCACACCACAACCATCAGGCACCAACCGTAGTCCGTAACTCAACAGTCCGTTCTGAGCCTGTTCCAGAGACACATGACACCCACCTGTAGAGATCGTGCACGTTCTGCCCGGAGGTGCCCAGCAGTCTGCGGCCCCCCACCACCGCCTGGTACGGGTTGGTGACGCCGTGGAACGTACGGTACGCCGCCGCCTGGTGGGAAAAACGGGAACTAGTAATACACTACCGGTATATAATTCAGAATATCACATAGTTGTAGAAGTTAGTGATTTATATTTTATAGCTCGAAACATTTTGCGACTTGCACTTGGGACGATAACTTTTTTAAATTAAAAAAAGCTAAGGACGATAAGAAAAAAAAATGATCTGGCTTTATCTAGATCGAATAAAATCTAGCTAATTTTATTTGAATAAGTCTTCCTTGTTGTCCCATCAAAGCCTGCGCTCCCTCCCCAAATCTTCCAAACTCCACCTAGTCAGCGCGATGTGGCCCGGCGCATCCAGACTTACAGACCCCGTCTTCCCACTCCAGTCTCTCACCTTGGGCAGCAGGCACGGGTGCATGGGTCGCTGCGGCAGCAGGTGATTGGTCGGGTCAAACTCGCCCGGCATGAGGTCCAGGTCGCAGCTGGCCGTCACCTGTTGGAGCAGCTCGTCCAGCGAGCGGACGGCGGCCGCCGATTGGCCCGCCACGTCTGACGTCAGATACGCCGCCCGCTGACGGAGGCAGGCGGTCAGGTCAGGTCGGGTCAGGTCAGGTCAGGTCAGGTCAGGTCAGGTCAGATAAGAGCAATCAGAAGACGGGAGACACAATTAAATATCCACACATCATCATTCCTCACCAGCAAAAAAAAAAAAAAATCCATCAGCGATCGAGAGAATGATTATTCCAACAGGCATGGCTTATGTGATACATAATAAAAATCGACAACACATGACCTGAGAGGAACAAAAAATGTATTTTGATTTATACCAATGCGATTAAAAAATTCACCGTTATTTAGCTACAAAGTCAGTAATAACCTGCCGTAATCCATGCTTCGTGCTCTCTACTATTAACTAATTAAACATCAAACACTTACAGCCAGTTTTAACTCACCTTTCGCAACTGTTGCGCTCTGGAAGCCTCAGTAACTCGCATGTAAGAACTGTCAGAAAGTATCCTTATGAACTGACCTTTAGGAACTGGCTGTCTCGGCTGCTGGCACTCAGCGAGTTTCCGGCCACTATGACCCGGCTGACGGCGGCCATCTCTTTCTGCTCCTCCTCTGACCCGAGCTGACCCGTGACCAGGTCAACGAGCAGCTGAGCTGGGAACAGGTCACCGGAGGCCTCCAAGCCGAGCCCGGATACCAGCAGTACGTAACTGAAGGGGAGCGGAGGGGTTAGCGGTCACAACGGCGGTGCAGCGGCTGTCGATTTGGTTCTCGGTATTTTTACTCAGAAGAGCATTGTTCTCGGGGCAGTGAGTCGTGAGAGCCCTTACTCGATACTGGACAGTTTGGGTCGGGGAGTGCGCCCGCTTGGCGTAACTTCCGACCCTATCTATACATACATTCGAACATTTGAGCTCAAGCTTCCTATAAAGACGAGATGCTAATTGCTAACTACAGGTGGTTGGTTAAAGGAACAAGATTAGCATCCCACTTGGGTTTTACGCATGTCGTAAATGTGTTGGACATTGTCAGAAATACCATGCTGCGTACCTGTCATTGTCGGGAATGGGTCGGTCAACTGTCTGCGGCGGAAGATCCGGAAAACAGACGTCACGGACTTTGAACTTCCCGGAGACTTCTTCCCTGCCGACCACGGCACACACTACACCTGTGGGGACATAGCCTGAGTCAGAGTGACGTCAATTTGTCAAAGGGACGTTACAATCATGCCAAAATGGCATTGTTGTTATTGGAGATTTGGCAGCATACATTTCAACTCTGAAAACTTTAGAACATGCCATTCAAGTCAGGTCAGAAGTTTGTTGCATCAAGTTGGATATCCAGAAAACTGTGCCCCAAAGCACCGTGACGATCGAGCCTCGGGCCGGTGTCAGCATTGGACGGCTGCACCACAAGCAGAACAGACCGGTACCGTCTGCTGTGATCGCATTCTCGCATGTGGTGAAATAATCCTACGACTGTCGTACCATTGACATACTGCTGCGGGTCGATGTTTCCCTCCAGTCGGATCCTGGCGCCCTCGTCCTCCAGTATCAGGTGGTCAGAGTCGCTGATGAACCGCTCCCGCGGCGGCTGAGGCATCAGGTTGTGCTGCCGGTGGGTGTGTAAAGTCGAAATAAGTCGGCAATGTTTTCGTTAATCACCAATCTTCCAATAATGTACAGTCAGTCTTAAAAGTACCGCGTAACAGTGCGGTGGATCCATTAAGCCTGACCGAGAAAGGGTCTGCTATAATTTGAAAGTCACCGAGCCAATTGACCTGGGGAATGGACGAGGATGTCAATTGCTTCGGTGACTCAGATTTAGCAGTCCTTCCACGGTCGGGCTTGATGGATCCCCGCACTGTTGCGCGGTACTTTTAAGACTGACTGTACCTTACCTTACCTTACCTTACGGATAACAGGAATTTTGATGGCTACTATGGCCTGTAGGGTCCTGGGCCTCGTTTCATAAAGAGAGTCCGTAACTCACGTCGGTTTTTGGTCTTGTATTGCAAGTGCATGTGAAGCAAGCTATTTCCCCCTCTCCCTTCTGTTCCTGCTTACAAGATAAATAAATTCAACGATTCAAATGATCGTCATCGCTTCACATGCACTTGCAATTCAAGACCAAAAACCGACGTAAGTTACGGACTCTCTTTATGAAACGAGGCCATATTCGCACCGAGCTCCTTAACTAAGGACTCTCAAGGATGCTAATCTAGAATGGAGTATCTGATGTAGAATCAAATACCACGCGATTTACAATATAATGAACAGTTTTCACATCCTAGATAACTTCACATTCCATCAGCAGCGTAGTTAATCATCAACTCACACCTATGACCTATTTGACAGAATTGCTCATGTCCATAAAATACCCTCTCACAGGCCAGCCACATACCTCCTCGCTAATCTCCTTCAGAATGGAGGGCTTCAGCTGCTGCTGCTTGAACAGGGTGCCGATGACGGCACACTCTGCACGCTCTTCGTCCAGCTCGGAGACGGCCACCACCACCACCCCGCCTGGAGGCAGTTTGAAGTAAATGAGCATTGATGATAGACAAACCACCCAGACCACCATACACCAGCAATGCTTGTGGTTCTGTGGCATCACAGCTGAACCTATTGTTCTCAGTTCTCACCCCATTTTTCAGCTGCGGCTGCACGCAGGCGCTCCTCGACTGCCTTCAGGCGTGATGAGTAGACATGGTAGAACTGGCGTGAAAAGTCACGGCCAGACAGCTGATAGCGTGCAGTTTCATCAGAAAACAGAGCAGCAGTCCGCTCCACTGACAGCTCTTCTTTAAGCTGCATACTGCCAGTGAGCGAGGGCTGAAATTTGAATTGGATGAAAACGTCAGGAACATTAACTGTAAGACCTATGCTACATATAAGGCCCTGAGTTAACTATGGGTATACCTACATTGACTTATGACTGACATAGTAATAAAATTGCAGTAACACGAAAACGCAATGTCAATGTTGAAGCTTGAAAATGAGCTTAGAAATTCAATCGATATCCATCACTCACCATCAAAAAGGCACCTCAGTTCTTGCCTCAGTTCAACTTGTCCACATCCGTCAATACAGTGTGGTGCGCCTGCGTTATTCGTTGCCTCGTCTCGATGATGCAATAACCACGTGTGTCGCCGGCCGGCACGGGAGTCCCCGGGCCGGCGCTGCCGATTCGCGCGCCGACTTGTTGTGAGTTGTGACGTTGCTACCCCCCCCCCCCCCCCCCGGTGCTGGGGGCGGCCCAGGGGGCGCCAGTGAACATTGTACCCTTTCACGAGGCGACCGCGTGTCTGCAGCCTGCATTGCAGCAGTCTGCTGACCAATCCGCGCTCGATCCGTCGCCGCGTGGTCTCCGAGTGTTTCTGCGCATGTCTGGGGCCCAGCCCGCTGCGTCGGGCCGCGCGCTCCGCTCCCCCGACTTCTAGGCCGAGCTCTTGACCCGAGCAGACGCGTCACGTCTGGCTCCGCGATTTGGCCCGTTCTGTCCGGGATTTATAACTTAGATTAGGCAGGGCATATTTGGCAAGCTTGGATTTCATTCTCGTCTCTTCGTCGCTCCATTGTCTGATTCGCTGTTTTGGTTTTTGACTTCGTTTTGGTAATTTAAATATAACAACCCGCTCTTTTAATTAATTCTTTTACTTGGGGCCGTTTGGATCGAACTGATTGAATTTTTGGAACACGCACCAGGTTGATATTCTCCATTTCTGATTACCGTAAAATCCAGGCACTGATATGTGGTGAACTGCCCCACAGCACCACATATTGGTGACCCCGACGTGATTCTTGTTCGATTTTTCCATACTTCCGGGTTGTCGCCTCCGCTCATTCCCGAATCAATTATTTTATATTATTTCCCCCACATGGATTGCTATTCCGTCGCTCCACAGTGGCTTCTGCGCCACTTTTCCATGATGGTTTCTGTGCCATCTCTCCGCCGTGTGATTAGTTAGGCATTTATCTTCTCGGTGATTTTATTTCGGCGTTCCATTGGCTCTTTCGGATTTTGCACCCGGTGTTTTAATCTTTAATTGTTCAGTGCATTGCAAACACCGGCTACACTTTAACGATCATGACGAACGAGGGCACGATGGAACCCGCTCATGCTGAGCCGGTCCATCATGTGTCGATCAAGCCGCCGGTTTTTATGGACACCGCGGTTGACGGCTGGTTTGCCATTATGGACGCCCAATTTAACATTGCCAAAATCACCAACTCGCAGACCAAATTCTACCACGTTCTCTCTGCCCTGCCTCCGGAAACCATCTCGCACATTCCGCGTGCTGTCTTGAGCAACAAAAATTTCTCTGAGCTACAGACAGCCGTCACTGACATGTACGAAAAGACAAAGCCAGAGATGTTTGAGAAACTGATCAGCAAAACGCGTCTGACGGGCCGACCCTCACTCTTTCTAAGCGAGCTCAGAGAGGTAGCCGACAAGGTTGGTGTCGGAGACGATCTCGTTCGGCACAAATTTATCCAGTCGCTACCTACAGGCATTGCTACGGCCCTGGCTTCTCAGCGCGAGCTCTCATTGTCGCAGTTGGGCAAACTCGCGGACGAACTGATGCCTCTTGTGCAAAACTCAGCTGCTAACATGGTTCACTGTCAGGATCAGGACCCACAGTCTGACTCACAGGCGTTCTTTGTGGCTCAGCAGCACCCAAGGTACCACAGGGCCACTCAGCCGCAGAGCCGAGCCGCCACACACTCCCCTGCTCGTGATGCTCGTGATTCAAGGGCGTCTCTCGGTCTCACGCCGTTCCACCCTGACCAGAAGCCGAAAGTATGCCGTGCTCACCTGTTTTTCGGCAGCCGAGCACGCACTTGCAAGCCATGGTGTCACTGGCCCGACAAAGCTGCTGATCTGACCATGCAGCCGTCCTCACGAGCTGCGTCTCCCTCCCGTGCAGCCTCAGAGTCGGGAAACGAGAGGAGCAGGCCGTAAACGCAGCCCTCGGCCTGCCGCTCCTTAGGGTAACAGCCAAGGTGAATGATCAGCCCCTGAAATTCATCGTGGATACTGGCGCTGGTGTATCCCTGGTTCCGCCCTCCTATGTGAATGGAACTCTAATTCACCCGTCCGCTGTTTCGATCACGACTGCCAGCGGGCAGCCACTGCGCGTGCATGGCGAGGCCACTCTCGATATTGTCCTCCCCACACTGAGACGCAGTTACACATGGACATTTGTAGTGGCTGAGGTGACAGAGCCACTACTCGGTAACGATTTTCTCGCTCACAACTCGTTGGTTGTCGATTGTGGTTCCCAAGTTCTCCGCGACTCCACCACTCTGCTCTCTGCTCCCGGTGTACCGACGACCGGGGAGTCTGTTCATTTGGTGATAAATGATCTCGCTCAGGTGCCTGAGGCAGTGCGGCCCATCCTAGAGGATCACCCCGCTGTTCTCAGCCCTAACCAGCCGGAGTACACAGACTCGCCAATCAAAACCACTCACTTCATCGACACCGGCAGCGCTCCACCCACGTTCGCCAGCCCACGCAAGCTGCCGCCCGACAAACTAACCGCAGCAAAGCAAGCACTCGATGTGCTGCTCAAAACAGGAGTGATTCGTCCGTCTAGGTCCCCGTGGGCCTCACCCATCCACATGGTTCCGAAGAGTACCCCTGGTGAGTGGCGTGTCACCGGTGATTACCGCGCGCTCAACGCCGTAACCAAACCGGACCGCTACCCACTGCCGCACATTCAGAGCCTCTCAACCAAGCTCCACAACGCTCAGTGGTTCAGCAAAATCGATCTGCTCCGTGCATATCACCAGGTGCCTATGAACCCCGCTGACTCAGAGAAGACGGCCGTCACCACGCCCTTCGGCTTGTACGAATACGCCTTCATACCAATGGGGCTTCGCAACGCAGGTGCCACGTTCCAGAGGGTCATGGACGGCATCTTCCGAGACGTGCCGTGCGTATTCGTCTATCTCGACGATATTCTGGTATTTTCCGAGAACCAGGAGCAGCATGAGAAAGATTTGCGCCTCGTGTTCAGCAAGCTGGCTGAGCACAAGCTTCGCATCTCACTGGAGAAATGCGAGTTCATGAAGAAGTCACTCATTTTCCTCGGTCATGACGTCACCAGCACAGGTGTCACACCTCCCAAGGCCAGAGTGAAGGAGATTCTGGACCTCCCTCTACCGCATGACTCAGAGTCACTGCGTCGCTATCTGGGACTCATCGGCTTCTACCGGCGTATGATTCCGCGATTCGCCGATGTCACGTTCCACCTGACCGAACTGATTCGACTCAACCCAAAAAGCAAAGAACTGACGTGGACAGAGGAACAGACTCAGGCGTTCAGTGACAGTAAAGCGGCGCTGGCCGGCGCCTGCACTCTTCCACACCCAGTGCCACACTGCGAGCAGTACGAGCTCGTCACTGACGCATCACAAGTCGCGGTGGGTGCCGCGCTCCATCAGATTGTGGACGGAGTACCCGTTCCCATTGGCTTCTTTTCACGGAAGCTCAGTCAGGCCCAACAGAAGTACGCCGCGTATGACAGAGAGCTACTCGCGGCTTATCTGGCAACACTCCATTTTCGTGACATGATCGAAGGCCGCCACGTTATCCTGCGAACAGATCACAAGCCACTCGTGCGCGCTTTTCACAGCCCACACACGGCTAAGTCTGACCGCCAACAGCGCCACTGGTGTGTCATCACGGAATACATCACTGAGGTCTCGTACATCCGTGGCAGTGACAACGTGGTGGCGGACTGTCTCAGTCGCCCGGTGAATGCAGTGTCCCTCGATGCATGTGACCTCCATTTTATCGCGGCGGCTCAGAAGCAGGAAAAGGAGAGAGACGCCGGCAGTGCCGATTCAGAGCACCAGGATTCCGAGTCAGGTCCAGGATCGCGCTCAAATCCACAGGACACCTCCGGATTGGAGCCAGTAACACTGTCTGGCGACATCACAGTCCTGTGTGAAAACACTGGACCACATCCACGCCCGTACGTACCAGAGGCATGCAGGCGCGCCGTGTTTGATCGTTTCCACGGCCTGTCACACCCGGGTAGGAAAGGCACCACCCGTCTCATCAGCTCTCGCTATTTCTGGCATGATATGCGCCGTGACATTGCGCGATGGGTGAAGGAGTGTGAAGCATGCCAGGAAGCCAAGGTGCACAGGCACACTCGTTCTCCGCCCGGTCGGTTTGACGTGCCCTCACAGCGGTTCGAAACTGTACATATAGACATAGTCGGGCCGCTGCCCCCGTCAGTACCCCACGGGCACCCCTTCACCACGCCATTTCGTTATTTGTTGACATGCATCGATCGCGCCACGCGTTGGGTCGAGGCCGTGCCGTTGGTCTCGATCACCGCGGAAAGTGTAGCCTCCGCTTTCCTCGACACTTGGGTGTCCCGGTTCGGAGTGCCACTGCATGTAGTCACGGACCGCGGTTCCCAATTCGAATCGGAACTGTTTGCGCATTTGTCTTCAATGATAGGTTTCCATCGCCTCCGAACCACTGCTTATCATCCGACGTGCAATGGGATGGTGGAAAGAGTCCACCGAACGCTCAAAGCCGCCATCCGGGCGCGCAGGCAAGAGTGGCTGCGCGCGCTACCCGTCGTTTTGCTAGGTTTGAGAGCCATGCCAGCAGAGTCGGGTTTTTCGGCATTCACTGCCGTCACAGGCGCACAGGTGCTGTTTCCCCGCTGCGCCGTCGAGAAGGTCCCCGTCGGGACAAAGTACGTCCAAGAACTGGCAAAGCGTATGTCAGAAATCGATTTCGTCACACTCTCACAGGGCTCGAACCACGCCCGCACACCACCGACGCACGTGCCACCCGATCTCATGACATGCACACACGTGTGGGTACGCGTTGACCGCGTGCGGCACTCTCTGGAGTCCCCGTACCGCGGCCCCATGCGAGTCATCAGACGCAGCCCTAAAGTGTTCACGTTGGAGCTGCCGACTGGCGCCCACGACACTGTAAGCGTCGACAGACTCAAACCGGCACACATGCCGCCACCTGAGGACACGCTTGGTCCGAGCAGTACTGAGCCTACGGCTCCGGAGCAGCAGCCGTCACCGTCGACCTCGCTCGGGCCCCTCGCCACTGGGGCGCCCGACGAGCCGACACAGACGCCGACGACTACAAGATCGTCCAGCAAGAGGACTTCAAGACCTGGAGTGACGTCTTCCGCATCGCCGGCCAAGGACGACAAGCCGTCCGCGGCTGCGCCGGTGCACACCCGCAGCGGCCGCCGCGTGCAGTTCCGGCCGCAACCGGACTTCAGATACTTTTAAGTGCGCCCGCGTACGTGCGTTCGAGGACGATCCTGATCGCGTGGCGCCGACAGTGAAGTGATAACTGCGTCGCGCGGTGTAGTGATTCTTGCGTCGCGCAGGACCGTGCAGTGACAATTGCGTTGCGCCGTACCGTGTAGTGATTATTGCGTCGCGCAGTGAAGTGTCGATCACGTCGCGCACCGAGTGATGTGAAAAGTGATTGTTTTGGCTTATCGTGTATGCGCTCCGCGCTGAGGCAGTGAGTACTGTGGTAACCACGTGTGTCGCCGGCCGGCACGGGATTTCGCGCCGACTTGTGACTTTCGCGCCGATTCGCGCGCCGACTTGTGACGTCGCTACCCCGCCCCGGCGCTGGGGAGGCGGCCCAGGACGTGTCTGTTCGTGAACTTTGTCCCATCACGATGCGACCGCGTGGCTGCGGCCCTGCGCTGCCGCAGTGCGTCGGCCAGTGACCAATCCGCGCTCCGATCGGCAGCCACGTGGTGTCCGAGTGCTTCTGCGCATGTCTGGGCCCGGCCCGCTGCGTCGGGCCGCGCGCTCCCAGGGACTTCTGGCCGAGCTCTTGGCCCGAGCAGACGCGTCACGTCTGGCTCCGCGATTTGGCCCGTTCTGTCCGGGATTTATAACTTAGATTAGGCAGGGCATATTTGGCAAACTTGGATTTCATTCTCGTCTCTTCGTCGCTCCATTGTCTGATTCGCTGTTTTGGTTTTTGACTTCGTTTTGGTAATTTAAATATAACAACCCGCTCCTTTAATTAATTCTTTTACTTGGGGCCGTTTGGATCGAACTGATTGAATTTTTGGAACACGCACCAGGTTGATATTCTCCATTTCTGATTAACGTAAAATCCAGTCACTGATATGTGGTGAACTGCCCCACAGCACCACATATTGGTGACCCCGACGTGATTCTTGTTCGATTTTTCCATACTCCAATATGTGGTGCTGTGGGGCAGTTCACCACATATCAGTGCCTGGATTTTACGGTAATCAGAAATGGAGAATATCAACCTGGTGCGTGTTCCAAAAATTCAATCAGTTCGATCCAAACGGCCCCAAGTAAAAGAATTAATTAAAAGAGCGGGTTGTTATATTTAAATTACCAAAACGAAGTCAAAAACCAAAACAGCGAATCAGACA